TTTGTTGTTTGTTGTTTGTTGTTGTCGTCGTTCCACCCGCGACCCGTCCCGCGACCCCACCCGCGACCCACCCCGCGACCCACCCGCGACCCACCCGCGACCCCAACCGCGACCCACCCGCGACCCCACCCGCGACCCACCCGCGACCCACCCGCGACCCACCCGCGACCCACCCCGCGACCCACCCCGCGACCCACCCCGCGACCCACCCGCGACCCACCCGCGACCCACCCGCGACCCACCCCGCGACCCATCCGCGACCCACCCGCGACCCACCCACCCGCGGCCCACCCGCGACCCACCCCGCGACCCACCCAAAATTTTCGGCGCCTGCGGCGGGTTTCTTTTGCATTCGTTCCAGGTGGAGAACCTGCGACCACCCGCGACCCAAACCGCGCCCGCGACCCACCCGCGACCCACCCGCGACCCACCCGCGACCCACCCCGCGACCCACCCAAAATTTTCGGCGCCTGCGGCGGGCTTCTTTTGCATTCGTTTCAAGTGGAGAACCTGCGACCCACCCGCAACCCAAAACGCGTTCAGTGTACAGATCAAATTGTTCGGCGCCTGCGGCGGGCTGTTTTTGAATTCTTTCCATGTGGAGGTGGAGAACCCGCGACCCACCCGCGACCCAAACTACGTTCACCGAACAAGGCAAAATTTCGGCGCTTGCGGCGGGTTTATTTTGCATTCGCTCCAGGTGGAGAACCTGCGATCCAAACCGCGTTCAGTGTACAAATCAAAGTTTTCGGCGCCTGCGGCGGGCTGTTTTTGAATAGATTCCAGGTGGAGGTGGAGAGCCCGCGACCCACCCGCGACCCAAATTACGTTCACTGAACAAGCCAAAAATTCGGCGCCTGTGGCGGGCTGTTTTTGTACTCTTTCCGGGTGGCCCACCAGCGGTCCCCCCCGCGCTGAACTTGTCTGAGCACGACGACGACGATGAGGACGAGGACGCGGACGAGGAAGAGGAGGAGGAGGAGGAGCAGGAGGAGGAGGAGGAGGAGGGCGCCATCGACAGGGAAGGTGAGGGCCACGAGGTCCGCCAGCTCGACGCTCGCGTCGCCCGCACCCGCCACCTCACTCTTATCCGCAATTGCGGGGTGCTACGTATACAGATCGGCACCTCTCACTCTGTCTTTCGCTCTCACTCTCTCTCTCTCTCTCTTTCTTTCTCTCCCTCTCTCTCTCTCTCTCTCTGTTTTTCCCTCTCCTTCGTTTTTTTCCTGCTCTCTCTCTCTCTCTCTCTCTTTCAAACTCTTTTGTTTTGTTCTCTCTCTCTCTCTCTCCCCCTCTCTCTCTCTCTCTTTCTCTCTCTGTCTCTCTCTCTCTCTCTCTCTCTCTCCGAGGGATCGTCGCCCCGTGGGCGCGAATCTGGCGCAATCCGTTAGAAGTGTCAGAGGGAGCTGGCCAAACGGTCATTCATTATCCCTTTGCGCATGGCTCAAGTGAACTTCTGCGGGGCGGGTCGTTGGTGTTGTTGCTGTTGCTGTTGCTGTTGTTGTTGTTGTTGGTGGTGTTGGTGTTGTTGTTGTTGTTGAACATTATTTATTCTAAAGAATAATTATTGTTGGGCCCCCTGGTGCGCGCCCCCCCTGCGCCGCCTAGGCCGCAGCTACATTTTCATCATTTTCGTGAGGAAGCCTCAGAAAAGAGGGTGTGTACAGGATCCGGTTGTTTTGTTGTAATCCGCTTTCCCTTGCAAAAAACTTGCAAAAAACAATAGAAAATGACATTTCTTGTTCTAATATAATCAAATTTCAAGAATCCCTTGCAAAAAATAAGGTAAAGTGGACATTCGCGCGCGCAAGACGAAATCCTTCCAAAACCTTAGTGTTCGAGCGATTTTAACATAAAAACATCAAAAAACCAATGGTTTTTCAACAAAAAAATGTCAAAATCTCATCCCGCGCGCTCTTGCGGATTCGTAGGAAACCCAACACTTTTTAAACATTTCTGTCAAACGGGCTTTTGCGAGCAACTTTTTCGAACTTCTGCGACAACGGTTGCGCACCTGCCAGGGCCATCATCCCTGTCAAATAATACCATGCGGGACACATTCGTTTTTTCTTCGCGCGCGCACGCCGTCGTCGTCGGCCGCGGGGCCCTGAATAGTAGCCACGGTCGTCCGCATGCCACGAAGTGAAGTGTCCGAACGTCATAGGGCGGGAAGCTGGGTGTGGGTGGTGGCGAAGAGTCGTTTGGAAATTTGGTAGAGCTTGAACCGGCCCCCCCACAAAGTGGGGGTATTGCCCGCCTCCTATGAAAACCCTGGCACTGGTGAGAACGGAGTGTCCCCAGTCTTAAATGATTGTTGTTGTTGTTGTTGTTGTCGTTGTCGTTGTCGTTGTCGTTGTCGTTGTCGTTGTCGTTGTCGTTGTCGTTGTTGGTTTTGCTGTTATTGTTGTTGGTGGTTTTGTTGTTGTTATTGTGTTTGTTATTGTTGTTGTTATTGTTGTCGTTGTTGTTGTTGTTGTCATTGTCGTTGTCGTTGTTGGTTTTGTTGTTGTTGCTGTTGTTTGTTGCCGTCGCCCCCACCCCGCGACCTGGCCCGCGACCCAGCGGCGACCCACTGGCGACCCACCAGCGACCCACTGGCGGCCCACCCGCGACCCAGCCGCGACCCACCTGGCGACCCACCCGCGACTCACCCGCGACCCACCCTGCGACCTCCTCGCGACCTTGCCCGCGACCCACCCGCGACCCATTGACGACCCACCCACGACCAATCCGCGACCCAGCTGCGACCCACCCCGAGACCTCCCCGGCGACCCACCCGCGACCCACCCCGCGACCCACCCGCGACCCACCCGCGACCCACCCCGCGACCCACCCACGACCCACCCGCGACCCACCCGCGACCCGGCCCGCGACTCGGCCCGCGACCCACCTTGCGACCCACTACATTGTTTGAGCGAAAATAGTCGGCGCCTGCGGCTGACTCCTTGTGCACTTTGTGAAAATTTTTGGCGCCTGCGGCGGGCTTCTCCGGAGCTTCGCAGGCTGCCGACGTCCCCGCCGCCTCATTTTTCTTATTCGGAACTGCGGGGTGCTAAGAAGTTCTTGAAGGCGCGAATCTGCAATATTTTACGCTGCCTCGGTGGCGCGAGTACGAAGTACTTTGCGAGGGGTCGCGGATTCTGGAGCGCGAACTCGGTGTAATTTGCACGTGGTCCTACCATGGGTTATGACCTCGGGGGCGCGCACCGCGCATACTTTACGAGGGTTCGTGGCCTCGGGTGCCCGATCCTGATACAATTTGCGAGGGAGTGGCCTCGGGGGCGCGAGTGTTGCATCATGTTTGCAAGGATCGTGGCTTCAGGGGCGCACATCTGGCGTAATTTACAATGGATCGTCGCCCCAGGGGAGCGAATTCTGCTTACAGTATAAAGGTGCTTACTGAATAAAGGGGATTGTGACTTCGGGGTGCCCAACCAGGTGCAATTTGCAACAAGGTCGTGGCCTCGAGTGCGCGGATGTTGCGTAATGAATTCGGGAGTGTGGCCTCGGGGAGCGAACCCTTAGTAATTTGTATCGGATCGTAGCCGCGGGTGCGCGAACCTGGCGAACTTTACAAAGGATCGTGGCTTCGGGGGCGCGCATCTTGCGTAATTTGCAGGGGAGGTGTTCCTTGGGGCGTGAATCTCATATCATTTTACATGTCCCAGAGCACAATGTGTGAAATCATACCACTGGAAACTGGATAGAGGAAGCTGCACTGGAACTGCGACGAGGACCGAGGAGCTCAGGATCGGGATCAGTTACTAAAGCCCAGCCCTCGCAGTGTCTGTGGACAAGCCCCACCAATCGGAAACCAATCTGACATCGGGACTACTTTCGGGACAACCATCGGGACATTCATCGGGACACCGGCTTGCTGTCGATCTATACCCAATGGCCTTCAGCCTATCCCGCCACCGTGCCTGGTTTGGGAGACAGATTTCTCAGGGATACTTTTGGGGGTCTCGTCGAGCGCTCCCAGGGGTCTCTTGGGAGCAGTTTGGGGGCCTCTTGTGAGCCTCTTGGGGGCCTCGTGGGGGCCTCGTGGGGGCCTCGTGGGGGCCTCGTGGGGGCCTCTTGGGGGCCTCTTGGGGCTTCTTGGGGGCCTCTTGGGAGCCTCTTGAGGCCTCCTGGGGGCTCCTCGGGGCCGAGAGCTCGAAGTGTCTTTTCGGGTTCCCCACCTGGGTCCCCACATGGGTCCCCTCCTGGGGCCGTCTTGGGCGCCTCTTGGGCTGTCTTGGGGCCCTCTTTGGGACCTCTGGGCCGTCTTGTGGCGATCTTGGGGGCCTCGTGGGCCGTCTTGGAGCGTCGGGATGCCAAAAACGCGAGAACGCCAAAATCCCCCCAAAACTGTTGGGACATCAATGACTGTGGCCTCTTGGTGCCCTCCTGGAGGCCCCTTGGGGCATCTTGGAGGCCTCTTGGGCCGTCTGGGTGCCATCTTGGGCGTCCTGGGGCGATCTTTGGCGGCTCGGAGCCCTTTTGGGCCGTCTTTTAGGCATCCTGGGCCTGTGTTGGGGCCCTCTTGGACCCGAACAAGTCACGCGAGAGGATGCGGGGGAGCCCAGGGGAACCGCGACAAGGCCCGCCAAATTTGAGAATTCGGGGTCTGGGCCCCTTCTCCTCCTCCTCCTCCTCCTCCTCCTCCTCCTCCTCCTCTTCCGCCTTTCCCCTATCCCTATTTCCGTCCTGCCCTCCTCGCTTCCTTCTCCCCCCCCGCCTCCTCTCCTCCCTCCCCCCTCTCACTCCTTCCCCTCACTCCTTCCCCCTTCTCCCCTGAGATCCGGAGGCGCGAAAAATGGAAACATCGCAAGACATCCCGACGGGAGCCCCGGACCCCCGAACGATCGATCTGCGAGGGTCCCGGGGCCCGAAATTTGGCGAAGACGCCCGGCTCGAAAAAATTGAGGCGCCAGTATCTCAGGGTCCCTCCCTCCCCCCCTTCCACCCCTTCCTTCCTCCCACTCTGCGCCCCGTCCCAGGCCCCCCCCCGCCTCGAGGTCGCCGCGGCTGGCGGCGGCGAGGCAGCGGGGCCGGCCGCGGCGGAGCCCGCCGCCGAGGGGCAGTGAGTCCCGCCCACCCGGCAGCTCCCGCCGCTCCAGGCGGCGCATGTGGGGAGTGTTGGGGGGAGGGAGGTCTTTCGACCTTCGACACCATGAGGCTCATTCTCAGCCTATTCTAGTTTCGACGACGACGACGACGACGACGACGTCGGCGTCGACGACGACGACGACGACGACGACGACGACGACGACGACGACGCGACGACGGCGACGGCGACGACGACGACGACGGCGACGATGGCGACGACGACGACGACGGCGACGGCGACGGCCATTGCGACGACGACGACGACGACGACGATCACGACGATGATGACGACGACGACGACGACGACGACGGCGGCGGCGGCGGCGGCGGCGACGACGGTGGAGGCGGCGCCCGCGGCGGCGAAGGCGACGACGACGACGACGATTTGCGATGACGACGATTTGCGATGACGACGACGACGACGACGACGACGACGACGACGACGACGACGACGACGACGACGAAGGCGACGACGACGAAGGCGACGACGACGGCGACGGCCGTGCTGGCGATGCTTGCGATGCTGGCTCCGCGGCTGCGCCTCGATGGGCTTCACGCGCGGGGGGGACGGGACGGGACGGGGCGGGGCGGAAGGCGTTTTCTAGAGGATCGAGATTCGAAGGTCGAGGTCTTCGGGCGCACCTCGACCTCACAAGGGGCTTCTCCTTGCCACGGCCGGATCCGCCGCGAAATTCCGGCCAGAGCGCAGCCCGGGGAGGGGTCCGGGGGGCCAGTTGGCGGAAGGTATTTGTAGGTTTCCTCGGATTTCGGGGAGGTCGTCTCGCCTCGGGCGGCTCTCCCGCAGCTGCCCTTGCCCGGGAGCGCTCAGGGGATGCCAGAAACTGGAACATGTACATTACCAGTGGCGTGCTGTTCTTCAGTCGCTGGACTTTTTGAGGGTCAGGGACGACGTCGGGGTGGTGTGGTGTGTAGTTGTGTCCCCGTTTTCCGGGGGATATGACGAACATGTTTTCACCAGCGTCCCGCATACACCAGGATCTACGTTCCTGTGCGAGTTTGAGTGCAGGGCCAGAAAAAGCGTCGGTGTATAGAGTTCAGTTCCTTAGGATGCCCAGAACATCCAAGGCGGCCGCCGGATGCCCGTGGCGTGGCGTGAAAACCACCATCGGGGGAGAGGGGCCCCAGACATCCTCGCGTCGTGAGGGAACCAGGACGGGAGGTTTTGCCGTTCTCGGCCTCCGTGGGGCCCTTGCCGGGCCTCAGTGGTTGCTTGGGTCGTTCGGGCAAGATGTGTGCAGAGCGCCAAGCACAAGCGGTTGAATGTCATAAGTCGTTCAAGCACGTTTGAAAGCTTACGTGTTCTAAGCTTGATGTTGGCTTCAGCCGTCCAGATGGCTAGCTCTGCCAAGTGCATGTTTGTCCATTCTATCAGTAATCGTTCTTCGATGGAACAAGACCGTTCAACGCTGGCATATTGAGACACATATGCATCATCACTAGGTCTTCTGTCTGCGTACATATAGCATTGATACGTTATCTGCCTTGGTAAGTGCGATTTATCCCTGATGCGGGACGTGCATGCGACCAAGCTGTGAAAGCGCGAAGTGGTCTAACCCCCCCCCTGCACACCTTACAGGTCGGGTGTCTGCTATTTGGGCTAGGTGAGATCCGCGTTTCCATCAGTTGGCGTGCATGTGTTCTTTCGTGTTTGCAACCCGTTCTGCTTTCGGGATCGTTTAGCAACGCCGGATCACATATAAATCGGGAAGCCATTGTTTGGACATGTTCACTCTTCGCACCCGACTTGGCAAGCGTTCGCATCGCCTCACCACTCAGTGCGCGATCCAGCGATCCATAAATTAAGACGGCTCTGCGTAAACAGCCGTCCCCGGGAAAGTGAACCAAATCCCGACGGGAGGTTTTCGTCATTTGGGGCCTTTGCGCGGGCCAGGGGCGGTATACCCGGTAGAAGTCGACTCGGGACGAAGAGCCGTCCCCGGTGAGGGCGGGAGGGGAGGGTGGGAGGGGGGGGCTGCGTCAGGGGAGGGGAGAGCGGGAATTGGGGAGGTGCCCCCGAGCAGTAGCTAGGCTTCTAGGCGCGCGCTCCCTCTGCCAGGGCCGGTGCCGCGCTTCGGCCGAGTGCCCCGCCGTTGCCGCCGCGCCATCTCCGCCTCTTCCACTCGTGTGCGAATCTCGCCCTGCCGCCCCCCGTACACGCCGCCTCTCCTGGCGGGCAGGGGCGCGGCACCCTCCCGTAACCTTCCCCCTGCCTGGGCCCCCTGGCTCAGCGCCCCCATCGGGCCCTTGGCTACGCCGCAACCGAGCAGTTTCTGATCCGGCCGGCTCGGCAGGACTGGCTGGGCACCCCCTCGTAGCAGCGTCTGGCCGCCTGGCCGGCTAACGCGCCCATCTGATCCCCCACCTCACGGCAGTGCGATGGCCTTCCCCAAGCCGCTGCCCATTCATGCATTAGGATATCGCTGAGGACATTGCTGAGGAGATGTTTTAGGATGTTGCTTCGGACGTGTCGTGGGCAGCTGTTTGGGATGTTGCTTGGGATCTCTCATGTGCCCTCCCCTGCCCCAGCCGCTCGTACAGTCGTGTCGCTGAAGAAGGACCCCTTTTCGTTGGGGAGGGGATTCGTGCTCCCTAATTGTTGCCCATTTTGCCTCAGGTTTTCCTTACACTTTCGATGGGAAATCGAAGTTTAACTTATGGAAAGAAGGGGCGGGGCCTCGTTCCTAAGCCAGGGTTCCTTAGGTCAACGCCCCGACTGCAGTCGGGCGTGCTGGCCATGACCCGAGAGGCTCTTTCGGGGCTCCGCTCCTGCTCCCCGCCTCTTCCCTCGCTCCTGCGACGGGCGGTGCCCGCCCGTGGACACGAGAGACAGTTAGGTCAGCAGCCCCGTGTGCCCAGACCCCCTCAGCCCATGACCTCATTCCATGCGTCGCATGCCTTCTCCTCGCGTCGTGAAGAGGGCAGCGACGGGAGGTCTTTCTGTGTTTTTGGCCCCGCGGGGGGCCCCTTACACGGCCTCGGGACCGTCAGCAAACGATTCAGGATGAGAAACCTGTCCTGGGGAATGGGTCGAGACTTCTGGCGGTCGACGTCATGAAAGATCGCGACGTCGGGGGTCAGGGTGGCGCGCACATGAGCGATGGAAATGGGCTGGCGAGAGCGGCTGTACTCTCGCGCCGTGCTCTCCCAGACGCGTGCCAGCATGCTGGCACCAGAGAACCGACCAGCGAGAATGATCCCCTTCACAGTGGCGCCCCCAGAGCTCGTCCCTCTGCCCCCCATCCTGCTCCTCCGTCTCCGCTGTCCCCCTCTGCCTGCCTGCCCCCTACGGGGAGGACGAGGAGGGGGAGGAGGAGGAGGAGGAGGGGGTGGAGGAGGAGGAGGAGGAGGAAGATGAGGAGGAGGAGAAGGAAGAGGAGGAGGAGGAGGAGGAGGAGGAGGAGGAGGAGGAGGATGATGACGAGGAGGACCCCCCCTTCCCTGCCGGGGAAGGGGGCGCTGCAGGGGGCCTCCGTGCGGAGGGGAGGGCTCGGGCCAGGGGTGCCGAGGAGGCTGCTCGTCCGCGGGTGCCCTCCGCTGCCTGCGGGGCTCCGGCGGCGTCGTCTCTCGGCTCGCCCCCCCCCACAAGCAGTGGCGAAGCGTCCTGGCTCGCTCATAGCCCCACCAAGCAATGCTCCAAGAACTTTTTCTGGTTTGTGGTTTCCACGAAGTGTTCTTAGTTAGAACATTTCTGACTGGGACTGTCTTGTTGTAACACATCGGGTTTATGTTCTAAGAACATTGTTTTCGAACATTTCTGGGTTCACAGAACATTTCGTGGTAGGGCTATAGGAATGCCGGGACGGTCGGTCCCTGCTCAACCCCCACCCCCCTTTCGGAGGCCTAGAGGTTGACACCAGCACCAGCATCGGCGGCGTGCCTCCAGCGAGGGAAGCTGATTCTGATCCCGGTGATGGTGGTAGTATGCGGGCTTCCTGGGTGGCCGAAAGATGACCACCAGCACCAAAATCTAGGCTCATCTTGCCCCTCCCCCGCTGCCGGCCTCTCGGCTCTCCGCTCCCGCTGTACGCTACTTTAGGCGCTCCCGCCCCGCCCGCGCGAAGACCGTGCAGGCGGGGGGCGGGCACCTCGCCCGACGAGTAAAAGGGGAGGCCTCGAGGCCCGCGCGTGGCCGCCGCCTTCCTCGCGCGCCCGTCGGTCGCTCCGCGTCGCCGTTCCTCGCACGTCGTTCGCCCTTCCTCGCCCGCCCGTCGTTCGCCCTTCCTCGCCCGTCGCCCGCCTCGCCGCCTTCCCCCCACGCCCCCGTCGTTCGCCCTTCCTCGCCCGTCGTTCGCCCTTCGCTCCGCTTCGCTTGGATGTTCGTTCTTTTGTGGGGCCTTCCTGGGACTGGGAGGCGGGGGGCCTCTTCCACAGAGGCTCGCTGCCGAGAGGTTCCGAAAAGAGAGCTTTGGCTTCCTCCGGGCCGGTTCGACCCCAGTTCGACTCCAGTTCGGCCCCAGCTCGACTCAGGTGCGGCTCTGGTCCGCGGGCGCTCGACGCAGCGTCGACGCACGACTGGAGAGAGCGGCTCCAGGAAGGCCCCCGAAACGAGCACCATGCTGTGTCGGAGGCCTCCTTGCCCTCGCCCAGGGCCGCGCGGCTGGCCAAGCGAGCCCCGCCCGCCAGTCACAGGGTCCCTGTCTGGCCTTGGAGGGCATCGGGGAGGGAGGGGAGAGGCGCCCTTGGAAAAGCACACGCCAGTCGCTGAAAGTAGGTATTTTTGAAATCCCAGATCCCAATCTACTTCAAGCGCCTTCCTACTTCAAGAATCGACTCGCTTTTGCTGTGTTTTGTTGTTCTCTGGGAGGACCTGGACCCAATCAACTTAATCCGCCTTCTTACTTCATGTTTCTACCTACTTCTTCGGACCAGCTGCTCGGGACAAAAAAACTGTTCCTGGGGAAAGGGTGTAGACCTCTGGGGCCCACGTTGTGAAACACACATCGGATTAAAGAAAAAG